TAGGTCGCCAAAACTCGTGATGCAGGATGCACGAAGGCGACATATATCTCCTCCACGTGATGTACGTTCAAGTGCCACTGCGAAAGCAGCACTGCGAACTCGACCGCACGTCCGAAGAGAGACTTCGATTTATGCACCCACTCCAACGTCGATAATCGTGTATAGACCGGTAGCGTCTTTCCTACCAGCTGGACGTAGCAGATCTTCAACAGCAATAGTAACGCCAGAGCTTCTTTCTCGGCTGGATGGTAGTTCATCTAGGATTCCTTGAGCACACGGCCGAGGATTCGTACGGGGTGTAACTTGCCTTCGTGTTCTGGTATAAGCGTTGTGCTCACCGCCCATTCATTCGCAAAGAGCATGACATGAACCTCGTTCGACCGATCGAAGTGCCTGAGGATGGGTGCATGTGCAACACTCGCTTTCAATTTCTCGAAGGAACGACGTGCCACTAAAATCCCGCTTTCAGCAACAAAGTCTTCATCCTTCAGCTGGTACAGCGCCGCACCGTAGACAGCAAAGTCTTGGATGCTACCCGGCGAACGTCCTCTCGACCGCGCTGCTCTACCATCTCCACTGCGTGCTCCCACTGTGCTGACTGGTGTGAAAGCCGCGTCTCCATTTCTGCAGCTTCTCGCTCCCTGTCAGCACTAAGTTGTTCGTGTCTTTGAAGTGCGAGGTTTTGTGTCTTCCCCACAACATCATCTTGAATACGGCTGTGTAAAGGCATGCTTCCGTTCTGAATTTGCTCTGCGAGACGCCGCTCGGACTCTGCTCGACTTTTTCAACGTGCTCGTGTGTGTAGCTGAGTAACTGCTGAGAGCGCATGTCCAGCACGAGGCCTTGCTCGTCAAGGCGTCACCTTCGCTCGTTCTCCAAATTATCTCTCTGAATAATGCTCTGCATTGCTACCACTTCTTCCTGAACCATTAACCTTTCATCTGCTTTCATTCACTGCGACGGCCCGGTATCGCCAAATTATGGGTTCCATCATAAGGGAATCATCAGTTTAGGGCCGCGAACCAGTTTAGGGCCGCATAAGTTACTGCCAATCATATACAGTACTCCATTGAACTTGGAAACTATTGGTTATAATAAGCTAAGTACGAATACCTTTAAAAATTTAATATGCAAAAGGGGTGAGCTCTTGGCGCCATTTTTTGTTCAGCTCCGGTTCCTGAGGTCGCGGCGCAAACCAAGATACTTGAGAGGACATGCTTCCGCCCAACGCCACCCACCTATTGCAGCCTCTGGAAATTGCAGTTAATGCGACACTAAAAGTGAAACTCTGCAATCTGATAAAGGAGGTTGTTGACGAGGACGATGAGGGCTGTTATTCGATTGACAAACCCAACGCAATAAAGCCTGCAAATATGGCTTGGGCCACCAGCAGCAGAACACGTACTAAGTCGCGCAGGAAATCTGCAGTCGCCACCGAAGGCAAAGGCGATGGAGTCCCTCAAGAGACGAGCGCAGCCCTACATATTGTCAATTCCGTCGTAGTGTAGCTAATCAACAAAAAGGTTAGTTGCAATCTTTACACTATGTTTTAGAATTGATAACTTGCCTTTCAGTGCGGAGAATTAACGGCAACGAGTAGACTCGAACCCGCGACACCCTGCTCCCATAATGGGCCCTCAATAAGCTAGCCGTCTAAACGACTGAGCTGTCAGCACTTGACGTTTCTGATTTTGTTTTGGTAATGACAGACGTTTGATTATTCTTGCATAATTATGTATCCTCCATAATTTTATCAAGACACAAAAACATAAAAAGAAAGAATGATCTAACCCTATGCTTGAATGGGCTTTGAAATTTTCACCAGCTGAACATTTTAATACTGAAGTTAAGGTTAAATGCGGCCCTGAACTGATACGACAAAAATTTCTGCTGCCGTGTCCTGAACGATCAATGCTATTGGTCATTGGCCGCAAAAAATACGATAAAAAAATTAAGATTACAAGTTTTCGGACACTGTCTCGCTTCGTGTCCCTGTGCAAATAGTTGCCGAGTTATGTGACTTTCTTTCAGGGCGGCCCTAAATTGATGATTTCCCTTACCAACTTGATTTGCTTCAGCACGTGCTCCTGCTGGCTGCGCAGCTACGCCAGTCTGCTCGTTGTGTGGCACTATACAAAAGTCTGGATTCAGCATTCTGCTGAAGGCCGGTACAGCGAATGTGACTCTCCGCGAAAAGCGCGTACCTAAGGCGAACGTAAGTACTGTTCCTTTAACAGCCAATAAAAGCTACTTAAAACAAAGTGTAAGTTCGTTTCTCCCGGGTAAGTTACTATTCTCTTTCCTTCAACCCGTTTAAGTCAAAGGGCGGGGAAGTCAAAAACCACATGAGCGCGTATTCACGAGGTGAAACTGTTCGCCCGTTTCACTGAGTTCATCCGAGCCGTGGTGCCCAAACTCGTAAAATTGACTGAGCTACAGCCATAAATATGGGTGGTCGATTTAACCTGGCGCGGAGTGTAGTGTACTTCTGGCGGGGAATTGCAGTCAATAGCTGTTGGACCAGCTGCAAGCGCAAGCAGAGAGCCCTAACCCATTCTGAAGCACAGGACACCGTTCGACAACTTGTTCAGGTAGAGTTCTCTACCTGAACAAGGGCCTTAGTGGTTCGGGATTTCGCCACGGCAGTTCTACATGTATTAATAGCAAGTATTAATATCTAATGAGCGAGCAACTGGTGGGAGCATTACTCGTCGGCAGGCATGGCGGGCTCCTTGTCCGCCAGCTTAAGCTGCTTACGCACGCGCATCTTAAAGTCGGAAATCTCACCCTGGTACACCTTAATAGACTGGTTTTCCACCAGCCAAATCTCCTTGGCAACCTGGGAAATCAATCGCATGTCGTGGCTAACCAGCAACATTCCACCACTGAAGTTGTTAATGGCACGAGCCAGGGCATCGATTGACTCCATGTCCAAGTGGTTCGTAGGCTCATCAAGCAGCAGCATGTGAGCGTTCTGCTGCGCCATATAAGCGAACACGACACGACTCTTCTGACCGTCAGACAACTGGCCCATAATTTGTGTCTGCACCTCACCCAGTGATGCCGTATCGGCCCAAGTAGCTTCGCACCTCCTCAACCGACTTGGTCTGGAAAAGCGAGCGGAAATACTCGAGTGGTGTCTTAGACAGATCCAGCACATCGACGAAGTGCTGGCTGAAACGAGCAATACGCAGCTTGCTGTGTGGTCGGACGTTGCCTGCAACAGGCACCAGGTCTCCTGTGATCAACTTTAGCAGCGTGGTCTTACCCGTACCGTTTGCACCAACAAGGGCGACACGCGAGTCCAAATCCAGACCCATCTCGACGCCAGAGTACAGCAGAGGGCAGTTCGGGTAACCGAACGCCACATTCTGAAACATAAGCACCGGAGGTGGCAGCGGTTCTGGGTTGGGAAACTTGAAGTCGCCAATCGACTCCTTCTCGACCTTCTCCGTAAGACCATCACGCACCATCTTGGCCAGCGTCTTCTCCTTACTCTGGGCTTGACGGGCGAGTTTGGCGGAACCGTGACCAAACTTGGCAATGTACTCCTTCATGTGCTTGATCTGGTCTTGCTCCCAGTTGTAACGCTTCATCTGGTTCTCCTCCTTCTCGGCTTTCGTACGCACGTACGTGTCGTAGTTACCAGCGTAGTACTCGAGCTTTTTGTTGGTAAGGTCAATGATATTCGTGCAGACCTCGTTCATGAACTCCTGCGAGTGCGAAATCATGAGCAGAATCTTCTTCCACTTGGACAAATAGTCTTCAAGCCAGACGACGGCCTCCATGTCCAAGTGATTGGTTGGCTCATCGAGGAGCAGCAGCGTCGGTTGAATGAACAGAGCACGAGCCAGCGCAATACGCATCCGCCAACCACCAGAAAATTCCTTGGTCTTCTTGTTCATCATGGCGTCCGAAAACGTCAGACCAGCAAGGATCTGGCGAGCACGGACCTCGGCAGTGGCGGCATCCATGTCGTCGAGACGCTCGTACAGATCCGTGAGGCGGTCCGAGATAGCCTCGCTGTCTTCCTCGCTTAGAGAATCGTCGGTCATCTGCTCCGAGAGCTCGTCAGCCTCGGCCTGGAGCTTGTTACGCTCCTTGTCGACGGACAGTACCGCCTCGAGTGCTGTCATGTCGCTGGCTTCAATCTCGTGCTTCAGATGATATATGTCGATGCTCTCCGGGATGGGGATTCCACGCGCGCCAAGCACATTCATAAAGGTGGACTTACCAGAACCGTTGCGGCCGATGAGTCCGTAGCGGCGACCGTAGTTTAGCGAAATGTCGCACTCCTCCATGAGTACCTTACCGAAGTAAGTGATGCTGAAGTTGAGCACGTTAATGTCCTTAAAGTTTTTGTGAACAGAGCGAACGTTGTGCGAGCAAGTTGCGATGATGCCTTCCTCAGCGAGGCGGTCAGCTTGTGACATGTTCTCGAGCGCCTCAGCCTTCTCGGCGGCCTTCTTCTCCTCAGCCGCCTTCTTGCGCGACTCTTTTTTTCCCTTCCGCTCTCTCTTCACACGTGGTTCCTTCTTCTCACGAGCCATGGTTGCGGTAGTTTGTTGCTCTTACGAAGAAGCTGTGCGCAAAACCACCAATACCGAAGTGAGGCGAGCACAATGCGTGGCACGATAAAACCTCGGAATGAATAAAACCTCGAAATGAAATAAAACCTGTAGAGATTGTAAGAAATAGTATTTATGAACTCGTTTGGGTTTACAGAACTAATGGCAAGTCTTGCCGCTACAGCTCATACCCTGCTCAAGACACTCTACCCCTTCCATATTTGATACCAAGAAACGATTGGCTGTCCAATCGCGTGACGCGACGGACGTCGCTACAAAGTGCGTGGCTCCCAGAATCTGGGCCAGATCATACTACAGTATTACTCGACAGGATATTCGTTGTTTTTGTGCGACTGCAATCGTTAACTTGTAAGCCAGAAACCAGCGCTACGACGATGCCACCGGCAGGCCGAATTCGTCGGTGGCGCGAGCCGTCCTGCCGGTGTCTATCGTACCCGACGGCGCATGAGGCAACTCGTGGTGCGTCGGCGCAAGGTAGGTTGGCGCTGCTTCTGCATCCTCTCCAAGTGCCTCCTCCTCAGCCCACTCTTCTTCCAGCCCTTCCAGTTCCGCTTCAAGTTCATCTTCATCGATATCATCACCGATCCTGGAGGACGAAGTGACTATTGTTAGATAAAACTTCGTCGTAGAAAACCCGCGTTGTATACGTACCCGTACGAGCGGCCTATTATCTCTTGAATTTCGTCCATGTCCTCCATGAGGTCGGCCATGTCGTCTTGTACATCCTGAATTGATCAAAACACAAAAACTATGTGAGAAAATCCAACAGAAAGCTATGTATCCTCTTCAACCCGCCTCAAGCTCTGAAATGTCGACTTTCTGGGTCTCTGCCTTCAGCTGCACTGCCGCACTCTTCATGGCAGCCACCGTAGATATCGTGTCCCTTGATGTATCGATGGCGAATACTGCCTGTGAATCAATAACAAGCATGACAAAATCAGAGGCTATTTTTAATAACCCAGTATTGCCTGTGTTCCACAAGTTACTCGTCCATGTACCTGATCAATATTAAAAGATTGAGCTTGCAGCTTGCCGCGCTGTGCTTCGAACATCTTCTTACGCTTGAGTGTCTGCATAGCTCGCTGCTTGATTGAATTTACTGCTGGGCCCCGTGTCTTCTTCATCTGCTCGCGATACTTGCGGAGCTCCTGGTCCAGCTTCTCGACCTGCGTCACCAAATCAGCCAGTGTTCACTGTGTCTCCTGTGCAACCGTGTAACCAGGGCAACAGCCACGCACCTTCATGTCTAAGTCGGTGACCCGGGCGTCCACCTTACCCCCCACATCGGAGATATTAATGGGCGGCGCCTCGAGCTTCTTCTTGCCGAAAATGCGATTCATCTTAGATGGGTGCAATACCGGTATGCTGGTAAATCTATCGAAGTACTAAGAAGTATTAATACTTCTTGAAGAAGCATACTGAGTATAATATCAGTATATCGAAATGATTGTGCCCGACAAAAAACCCAGTTTTTTAAGAACTGAATTGACTTGAGAAAACGTAAGATGACCTGGCGGATGATTCAATATCTCCCCGTGATTGGTTGATAATGAATTTAATTACCACAGTACAATGTTCAAGTTGCTCCTTTGAGCTTGCGTCTACCGGGGAATACGGTGTACGTGAGCGCTCAGCCGTCCTTCACATCATATAAAGCACCGTGATGCAGCACCGCGACCTTCCTGAGCGTTCATTCGACAAGCAGGTCTGTAGTGTGAAGTGTGGAGGAAGAGCCAGGACTGCGTCCAGCTCAAACCTGAGGCTCAGGTGCCTCCAGGACGCGATGCTCGCGTCCAGAAGCCGGACTTCGACGGACCATTGGCTGGCGAGCCGCCAGCCCCATCCTACTGCTAATCCTACCAATATATGTTACCGGGGTTTTTCCGTGTGCTGCTACACACTCGACAACTTGCGCCGTCAAGAGCAAGCAGCAGCACTCGGTTTTCTCCCCTGCTGGACTTTCAGTCCCTGCAACTTACTGTTGTTACGACTACTTCCTTCATCACAATGGTCACCACTCGGCGTAGCCGAGGAGCGACCATCACTCAGGTTATGAGCCCAAGTAGGAGAGCTGGAAGCCCAGTCCGGAGTACGCAGAGCTCGCGCGCGTCCGACGAGTTGCAGTTGCCTGCAAGAGCAGACGAGACAACGTCAAACGAGACACATGCGACGTCACAAGCGTCATCAACCCGAGTTGAGCAACAACTCGAGCTCTTATTGGCCCAATTTGGTACCGTTATGACTACACTGACCAATCAGCAGCAAGTGCAGAACATTCCAGTGGAAGCATCCACCCGACGCCCACAAAGGCAGCTCATTCAAGAATTCTCAGCGGCTCGAGCACAACCGCAGCGAGTGCCGACGCCGTACGGGCCCCGCCGAGGAAACCCAAGCACAGAGGAACTTACCGCCGACGCCAGCACGCGTCAGAGCGAGCCGCCAAGAAACCCAAGAACGTCCGAGGCTGCAGCGCAGCCAGTCCAGACCGAGGCCGGGACCGACTCCGCTACGGACGAACCCATGGTTGGAGACCACAGATGCACGCGGTGCATGAACCAGAGCGGACACGTGCAGTTGAACGCAAGTCTTACCGATACCAACTATTAGACGTGGCGCGTCGAGATTTGCTCCATTCTCGACGTCGCACACCTCTTGGACCCCATCATGGAGCGCGAAACGATGGCAGACCAACGTAACGAAGGACAGCGCGGCTGTTTCAAGCAACGACTGCGTGTTGCTCAACGTGAACTTACGATGGGACTTAGTCAAGAGCTACAGATGCGATTTACAAGTGTTATTCAACGTGCTGATCCTATCCTACTGTGGCGTACACTGGAAGATCACTTTAATAACCATCCTGGAGTAAACAGCGTATTTCTCAAGCGAGATATGCTGAATCGTCGCCCACAACGTGACGAACGACTTGACGATTACATTCGTGACATCGACGACTACCAACAGAGACTTCGCCGCGCGAACAAGCAGCTGCCTGAGCAGGAAGCCGTCTCTATCCTATTGTCGAATACAGTGGGTGTGTACCCAGCGGTGGTAAACGAGCATGAAGTACGTATTGGACGTGATGAGTCCATTACGTGGGAGCAAGCGATCGAGCGCCTTCGACTCGCTGACCACTCACGCCAAGAGACTGAACTACAGCAAGGACGTGGTGGAGGTGGACGTGCCGTCCAGCGAGATGTTGCATTTGTTGGTGGCCGTGGCGACGGACACAACGACGGAAGAGGACGTCGAAACTCGAGCAGCAGCCAAGCACGAGGCAACAACAACCGCAACAATCGTCGCAGCCGCAGCATATCGCCGCGTGGGCGGAACAAGCGGCAGAAGAGCAAGAGCTCATCCAGTGCGAGGGATGACATCGCCAAGCGAAAGGCGAAGACGAAGTGCAACACGTGCGGAAAGCAAGGACATTGGAGTGGCGATCCTGAGTGCCGCCAGCGTGGCAACAATAACAACAACAACAACTCGAGCAACCCGCCGCGCAGGATGATCGATGTGGTTACTGTGAAGACAGCCAAGTCGGCTGCACCGACTCAAGCTGAAGGACAAGAGCATGTACTCGCGGTGCGTGACAACTTCAACTACAAGGACAAGGACAAGGACCAGGACATGGTGGAGTGGGTGTTGGATAGCGGCGCGCAGACCAACGTCTCGAGCGACCTTACCTTGTTTACGGAGCTACACGAAGACTCAGTTGCAGAACTAGTCTTCGGCAACGGCACAACCGAGCGCGCAACTGTAGGCACAGTGCTTATGCAAGTGCTGAACGAGCACACGGGCAAGATCGAGGAGCGCCTCCTTGATGACGTGAGCTACGCCAAGTCGGCTGCCTACAACCTGATCTCGCAGACCTACATGCAATTCAAAGGAAACTTCAAGGTGCGCGTCTCGCATGATCAGAAGACTACGTGGCTGGTCAAGGACACATTGAAGCTGCGCTTCAAGTACATCCGCGGGATGTACCGCATGTGGACGCCACGTCAGAGCAAGAACGTGATGAGCGTCAAAGCCAGTGAAGCTGAGAACCCCATGACGTTGCTGCACAACCGCATGGGCCACGTTAACATGGAGACTATCAAGACTATGGCAGGAACCTATAACTTTGGCATCAACATGCAGTCGAAGAATTTTGCTCTCTATGAATGCATTCCATGCTTAGAGTCAAAGACGAAGCGCATGAGCTACAAGCGCAAGCCGTCTCGCTCTGCAAAGCCCTTGCACAAGCTTTGTGTCGACCTATGCAGTGTTGGAGTGGATACAATATCGAAATCAAACCAGTTTCTATTGATTATCGACGAAGCTACGAGATACAAGTGGGGATATCTATTAGCCTACAAAGACGAAGCCACGGAGCTGATTCAGAAGCAGATTCGCTGGATCCAGAACCAGTTCCCGAAGGCGACCATCAAGACGCTGTTCTCCGATGGTGGTGGCGAGTTCGTCAACATGCAGCTCGAGACCTTCTGCAAGGACCTCGGCATCGACACGCGTTCATCCAATCCCTACAGCCCGCAGGAGAACGCTATCGTGGAGCGCACGAACCAGACCGCCATGCGGCAGGTCAGATCTATGTTACAAGCTACGCAAATGCCTGTTTCATTATGGGGAGAAGCCTTCCTACATGCAATTGAGACGCTCAACAAGACGCCGACGCCGGTGTTGAAGGACCAGCAGTCCCCGTACGAGGCCCTGTACGGAGAGCGGCCAGACCTCAGCGTGCTGCGCACGTGGGGGTGCTTGGTGCACGCGCACATCCCTGATGATTCTCGGCAGAGAAAGGAGAAGCTCACTCCAAGGACGCAGATGTGCTTACTACTTGGCTACAGCGAGAAGACCAAGGGCTATAAGCTGCTGAACCTGCGCACAGGATCAGTGACGACGTGCAGAGATGGAAACATGAAGGCACATGAGAAGTACACGGTAAACACTGTGTATATTGAGCAACTTCTTGCAAACACCTACGCTTACGGAGACTACGACTTACCTGCGGAGATCCCGATCGTGCCGATCCGGACGACAATGTCTACGTACCTGCAGCTTCCTGCAGAGCTTGCAGAAAGGCGAGCAGCGGAGATGGCGAAGCTGGCCACTGCTGGTGAGAGCCATGACCAAGGTGTTGAAGTTGAAGCCGAGTCTGCGACTCGAAGTGATGACCCACAGCTACCAAGCGAGGACGCTAAGAAGCCAGCAGCTTCAGTGGGAGGTTCCAAGCGGAAGAACACAAAGGGCAAGAATAAGGCGAAAGCATGTGCAAATCGAGTGGGAGCCTCGAAGGCCAAGGACAGTCGACGTGATGCTCACGAAGACGAGAACTGGGAGCCATGCACGACGCAGAAGTCGTCGCCAGACGACAGTGCAGCTACTTCGCGACCGAAGCGGAAGCGACAACCATCCGCCCGACTCAAGGACTACGTAGTGACGAATGTGACGAAGCAGAACGTCGAGGATGTGCAGATCCCCATTAGTCACAAGCATGCGGCAAGGTCAAAGAAGTGGAAGGAGTGGAAAGCAGCGATGCAAGTTGAGATGGACTCACAGCAGCAGCACGAAACTTGGGTGCTCGTGCGACGCACGGAGGCCAAGGGCAAGCGTGTCATTTCGTGCAAGTGGGTGTACGCGCTCAAGAGAGACTCTACGGGCCGGATTAAGCGATATAAAGCTCGACTAGTGATCAGAGGCTTTCTACAACGCATGGGCATCGACTACAGTGAAACATACGCACCTGTTATCAGATTTGAGACGATCAGATGCGTGATCGTATACGCGCTGCAACGCGGATGGGCCATCTTGCAGTTCGACGTCAAGACCGCGTTCTTGTACGGTGATCTCGACGAGGAGGTCTACATGGAGCAGCCTCCAGGCTTCGGAGAAGACTCTACGCGCTACGTATGCAAGCTACAGAAGAGTTTGTATGGGCTAAAGCAAGCGCCTCGCGTTTGGAACAAGACATTGCACAAGTTCCTGACGAAGATCGGACTCGAGCGCCTCGACTCTGACTACGGACTCTACGCCAGGAAAGTGGGAGGAGAAGTCACCATGCTGCTCACGGTGTACGTCGACGACCTACTGCTCCTTGGCCCTAGTGACCTTTGCGCTAAGGTTGCTAAGCAACTCAGTGAGGAGTATGAACTCACATCTCTCGGACCAGTCAAGTATCTACTAGGCGTGGAGATACTGATCGACAGCGAGCGTCGACATGCGGTATTTTGCCAGCGGCAACATATTACGGAGGTGCTAAAGCGATTTCACATGGAGGGTTGCAACGCGGTTGCAACACCGGAAGCGCTGCGCGCTGAGGTGGTCACAGATGCGAAAGATGACTCCCCGCCCCCGTACCG